ATAGATAGATAGTAGCGTCGATTCGTGATTCAATTCGACGGGCGGGGTCTGGAAATTTGCATCGGATCCATAATATAGTATTCTTGCCAAGCGTTTTCCTCCTTTCAAACGCAACTAGTGGGGCGGCACCAATCAACTGCAAACTGCCGTTTGCTTTCCAGCATCTGGAGTACGTAATCATATGATCCTGCAACCAGTCCAAGTGCAATGTGCCCACATCCGCCAATGGAGCTCGGTCAGTAGTACTGTACATACTAGTACTGTATTGTATATACAGTGGCTCTACTGTATTATACTAACGTTACTCTTGATTAAAACAGTCCCTCCGCCGCCGCCATTGCGTGGCGAGCCAATTGCGAGCACACTAGACGACTCGCGTGGACAAATGCTGCGGTAGCATGTCGTTCGAGGTCGAGTCCCCACTTGCGCGCTTCGTTCTGCATGGACAGCACCCCCGCGTCCGTCTTGGCTTGCGGCAGGACATGCATCACACGCCACTGCAGAGTATTATCGTCATTTGCGGCCGATATGCGAACCTCGTACCTGAGTATGGAGACAGATACAGTTTATTCAGAGTATGTCAAATCGATTCGAAAGTCGTCAGCAGAATCGAATGTCTTTGAATGAATTAAAGAACCGCCTGAGCCAATCAAATCACGTCATGTCGAATTTCTGCCAATCAAACAAACGTTTGACCCCTCCGCATTCGGCAAAACCATATATATACTAATCGTATATAGTATAATAGTGTGTGCAAAATTAAATCGGATCAAATAGATTCGAAAGCTATTCGGCGAAATCACACACGTCCAAATTTAGGTGAAATGCATGCACAATACGGTTTTTTGTATTGTCAACTGGGAATACCAAATCGGTAGACCATCGATGATCGACCAATCAAAATCCAGAACACGAACCCAGTAGCCAATCAAATGATCCACTTCCAACACCATCGAATATATTCGGGTGTGACAGTGGAAATACACATACAAATGTCAAGACAAAGAATGGAGTTGGCGAATCAGCACAAAAGTCCAAATTTGGGGTAAAAAAGGACAATAAGGGATGGTCACGAACCAAATCGATCGATTCTTCTGAGGCCAACCAGACTGGTCGATGGTGTCATCTGATCCAATTTGCTGCCACACGACTACCCACCGAGTAGGGCTAACGTGAAAGTGGCCACAGACCAAGTTGATGGCCTCTCCGTAGCTCGTGACCACTCGAAGCATGTTGGTGTGACCTGTCACCTCCATCTGCCACGTCATGGAAATAACGTCACAACGAAGTAGTTAGACAAACAGACAAACCATGGGGTCGACGTTCGGTGGAAGCATGAGGAACGCGGCGAGGTGCCGGTGGCATGCGTCAAAGATCGCGTGGGATGGTGGCGGCACTGCTGTGTCGTGGCGGATGGGCACGTGGAATTGCGACCGTTGGACGGCGGCGTAGTGCCCGTCGCCGTCGAAATCAAACGATAGGTCGTCGAACGAGTGGCCAGAAGACGAAGGAAACTCATGGGTTTGAAACATCGCAGCCAAGTGATGCAACATGCGCTGCGTGATCCACCGCTGACCCAGTAGTCGCGTCGAGGGGTCGCCGCTCAGGGTCACGTCGTGCCAGGTCGACACGGACGCGCTCAACGATACCTACATCACCCCATTGTTACTTACGACACAAAATGCCGCTTCAATCAACCTGCGGCGGTGCGTTGAGCGTCGTCCACGCCTGCAAATGCCGCAACAGCGTCGTGTTCTTGATCGCCAGAGATCGCAGCACGGCCAGCTTGGACACGTCAGCATCGTGTGCATACCGCAGCGCCGTGGCAATCTCCTTCCAAGTCAACGGCGCCGTACGATGAAGTTGCAACGCCTGCACCTGCTCTTCTAAGGCCGCGCATTGCCCCAGCAAAGCTTCCTTTTCCTCGTGTCTGCCCCTCGTGTACTCGCGCATGCGATCCCGCTTGTACCTCCGTCGCTTGAGCTTCTTGTCCGCATGCTCAAGTGCCGCAACGTCCAAGTCCGTCGGAGCTTGACTCTGCATCACCCAAGTTTCACAAGTGAAAGTCGAAATATCTACTGTATTCCGGTTGATTTAGTTGTAGTACCCATGATATACTGTACTAGTATGTAGAATTGTTTTACGATTTATTAATACTATTGGGGATAAGTTCAACATCCATACCCAAATACAGTGTGAGCTTGACTAAGCTATCAGTACTACAAAGGGTAGATAGAATGAAATAGATACTATTAATAGTATTAATACATATAGGTGGCATCCGACATCGAACCGACAAATTCATGGAAGGACATTGGCTAACCGACAAGAAGTCGTAATTTCATTGGAGGAGAGTCGAATAAAGTTTTCCATTGGTCGATAGCTTTGTCGTCTACCAACATATCCGTGACATAGAGCAATAACACGATTCGATTGGTGGAAATACGAAAAGGCAGAGCAGTTTCAGAACGAACACTAGACCTCCTGAGCAAGAATCCATTTTTTGACCAATTGCACAACTGTTCAGGAAAACACTGCGTGAAATAATGCATCTCTATAGGATTCAACCAATGCTTGAGTTATTTCCGAAAAGACCCAGGAATCAACCAAGACATCAAGTGATTCAGTTTCGAATGAGTTATTTTGAATAGCAGTGTGTAAAGTTCGAAAAAGTAAATACGTTTTAAATTCTTTACAACACGCTAATCGAAAATACAACTACCATCTTCGCTCTCGTCATACTCCATCTCAGCGGAAAGCTGAAAAGTCTCCCCATTTGCGTACATTGCACTCAAACGACGCTTGCGCTTGTCACGCGACATTGCCACCGACCCCGCACGTTTCGCCTTTTTCTTCTGACCCGTAGATATGAGCCCATTCACAAGGCGATGGAGATCATGGCCATCTTCCGCCCGCAGTGGCATGAAACGAATATGAACATTCGTAAACGCAACATATGACTGGAAGTAGATGTCGTAGTTGTCACGCTTCCACTTCAACGTGTCGCCCACCACACTCCACAACGTCTTCAAACGTCCGAAAATTTTTTCGATGATGACACGGTCACTGGCAATCTTGTCGTTCACATCCATTTCGGACACCGTCAAAACACCACCCGCCGGCCGCTTGGTTGGCGTTATGGCACGAAGGTTGCGGTGGAGACCTTGGTATCCCTTGTCCGCCAAAATCGCCCAAGAAGCTGGATACTCCTCACGGAGTGGACCTTGGTCAGCCATGTCGAGTTCGGACGGGGTCTTGGCGAGCTTGTTGAGGTGGAATTCACGGTTGGACTGGGCAATGGCGATATCAGCCATGCTAGCTGGCACCGCATTGGTGACGTTGATGGCCAGGCCGTTGGGCAATACGCTTGCCTCCACCTTGACACCATGCTGTCCGTGCTTTTTGCTGAAGAAGCGCTTCCTCTCTGGAAAACTTCTAGCCGGGATGTTGGTCTTCTGGAACGTGACGTCGACAGCGTAGAGGGCACACGGGTAGTTGGCAAAGCGGCGTTTGTTGGTCTCCAAGTGCTCCATCGTGTACTTGTCGGCCACAGCATCGATGTACCGTCCAACGAGAAAGGGATGCAGAGTTTTGAGGAACGAGTTCACACGGTTGGAGAACGAGGCTGATGTGTCGTCGAAGAGTGCGGACACGACATCCCACGACCCGCAATGTTTCAGCGAGGTGAGAGTCATGAAGAGCATGTCGCGACCCGTGACATCGCTCTTTCGAAAGGGATGCAGAGTTTTGAGGA